TCACAAATATTGTATATTTCAGTATTATTACACAGTACGACAAAATTTGATTTTTTTTCTCCCTACCATGAAATTTTTTTATAGATTTCGTCGTTTTTTCAGATCACGTCATTTTTTTTTTAAGTGCGATCCAATAAAATGTTATCCACGGTATTCGGCACATAATATAACAGTTGACAGTACCTATATTTTAAAAAAAAAATATTCACTGAATAAATGGATAACCATTAAGATTATTTATTTATTTTAAAATTATTTTAATTATACACAGGGTGTTGCACATTTACGAAATACGGATGTTTCACGTTCGCTGTCCATTGAGAGTTTCTGAGGAACGGCAAAAGATATCGATTTGAAATTTTTAAAGCGTTTATAATCCAATTAAGCCTATTTTTCTAAAATATTTTAAACAAAATGCCACTTCCGGCTTGACCTATAACCTATAACTTTCTTGCTATTAGGTTTGCAGAAATGGGGGTAAAATTTTTGGAATCTTAAAACATTGTTTAAGGTAGTTGTCGTGGTACAATATTGTCAAAAATTTTTAGATTATACGCACCGTAAAAGTATACGAGCTGGTAGCTAAGTGATTCATAATTTGTTCGCAAGACTGTACCCTGGAGACGTTATTTTTACGTAATACTTTCAAATATTTTCATAAGTTTTAATCCGGCAACGTCGCTTATGCTCAACCAATAGATATATTGGAGACTGAATCAGACGTTTGAATTTACTGCGGAAATTATATCTATACTCGCGTACAGCCTTGCCAAGTTGTTTTTATCTGACACTAGTGATGTATACTTTTTACAAATTGTTGAACTTTAAACGGTTATTTATAAACAATTGGACGGTCAAAAATTTTTAATTATTTTTTTTTAAACTCAGCAAAAATACATTAAAACAATGTTAGTTTTTTGAAAGCTTCTGACAGTTAGTTTTTTCTGTATAACTAAGAAACTGGTACAGAACTACAGAAAGCCTATACAATCCATGTTAATTATCCAATTTTTAATTGAATTTATCTCGGGTTATAGACGGTCAATCGACTTTAAATTTTAAGGATATATGTATTGTCATGTCCTTAATAAGTATACAAAAATTCAAAATTTTCTGATGGTATGCTTATAGCACGACAACTACCTTAAAAGATTTAATGTCAATTTCTTAACATACCGGGTGTTACATTTAAAATAAAAAAGTTATTAACGTTTCAAGTTAGCCCAATTTGCCCTGGGGTTTCTCGGGTAATTTGTTGAAAAATGTTAAAGAATTGACATGGAATTTTTTAAACAATGTTTTAAGATTCCAAACATTTTAACCCCATATCCGTAAACCTAATAGCAAACATCTAGAAAACTATTCACTTTAGGTATAGGACATGGTACAGTAATTTTACTCAGAATTTTATGTAGAATTTAAAAATGTAAAAATATATGGGGTATTCTATTTCAAATAACAAAGTTGGTGCCACTTCCGGTCAAACCGGAAGTTGCCTTTTGTTCAAAATATTTAAAAAAAATAGACTTGATGGATTATAAACATTTTTAAATTTCAAATCTATATTTTTTTCGTTCTCCAGAAACTTCCAATGGACTACGAATATGAAACAACCTGTATATCAAGTGGTGTTTTTAGGTTGTGATCCTAGACCAAACCAAATAGATGAACATCTGACGGTATAATTTTGATGCAATGAAGCGCCCTTATACGGTTATGGAGGAACTAAAATGCAGCGTTGCCAAAAGCGACCGCGTATATTTAAATTTTAAAAATTTATTTTATTATTTGAGATTGTCAGCGTTACCAAATTCTGTCAAAAAAACGTAGATTTCGAAATAACCTTAACTAAATAACTAAATATTTTACACAATCAACAATAATTAAATATCATAAAATGACAATTTGCATTTTATCATTTTTATAGTTATAATACAATAAATAATATAATCAAACAAATTATACCTTTTTTTACAGAATTGGGCCACATTGGGTCTATATATAAAAATTTAATTTTAAATATACAAATTAAAATAAAAATAGTTAAGGGTATAATTAAAGTAATTTGAATTAGAAATATTTCTTTATTACCCAGCTAACAAAATTGATTATGTAAGTGTTGTTAGAACTGCTATACAACACATATTATAGAAACGCTAAAATTGTATAATGCGTTTAAAAACTACTATACAACACTTACTCAACCAATAAAGGGCCCCGTTTTATAAAACAGTTTACTTCGTTAGCAGTTATATAAATACACTACACAACCCTTATAAAACTCAGTATCAGTATACTGGGGAACTGCTATTCGATTATACTATAGCGGTTTTACTCTGCAGATTAATTGCACTTTACGAATATTTATAGAATATTAAAACAAGCATTTTATAAGTATGTTATAATGCGACAGAATCGTTATAAGAACATCAATTTGTTTCCTTCTCTAAAAATTAGGAATGGAGTGGGAAATTTTTATCCTAAGACTATTTTATAATGCGAATTATGTTGGATGTCAAACGGCTAAGATCCAAAATGGTGCTTGTTGTTTATTATGTAAATATAATTATTAAACCTTTGAGATTTACGCTATCGAGGACAACATCTTCCTGCGGAGCAATCTTTTCTGACAATATATGTATATATTTTTAACGAAAAATTAAAGCGCCAGTTAACAAACATACCTACTAAAAATTATTTAAAAAAAAAATTAATTTTTTATTTGACAAAGTTTCATGTTTTTTAAGAATATTATTGTTTTATTTGTTCAGTTTATAATTGACTAGTCTTAAGATTACATTAATTTTTTTCAAGAAAATTCATTTTTAATTGGCAGTTTTAACGTTTGTTGGTAAAATTCACACAATGGCGGCGATTTATAAACAATTGATCGGTCAATAAATATGGCGTTTTTGTTATAAAATGGTTTTGTCTTTATAAAAACGTTATACAATTTATCTGCTCTGTCGCGTGCGTTATACGATATTTAGGTTCTGTAAAGTTGTTTAATACAGGCGCTATAAAAGTAAAGCAAGAAACTGACATTTGAGATGTTGCCAGATTTTATCTGTATTTTTCAAATTATTTGTTTTTTTTTTAGAATAAAATACTCATTTTTGGTGCAGTTAGGTACATCAAGTAAAATTTTATTTATCCTGCACGACGTTACCTTCATTTTTTATGCAAATAAGGATTTGTAGGTAACACTGCTGCCTAAAATAACAACCCTGTAAGTTCATTTTTCGTATTGGCTATAACGCCTTTGCCTACTGCGCAATAGAACAATAATATCGCTTAAGGTATGCATTGTACCGCACTATACAATTGTGTTCTGTTTTATCCACTTTTTAGCGGTACCTTCTTTATCTACATGTGACCTAACCTATTTTTTTTTTAAATGCCCACTTTTCTTAATTTTTTTCCATTGCGACTCCATTTTAAAAAAATACTTAACTTATTTTGGCGTAATAAGACACTAAATGTATACTGTAAACAGACTTAAGTAATAAAATTATAACGCAGAACTTGCGATAATTTTATTTTATAAACTTTCTATAAAGAAGTTAATCGGTGTAGTTATAGGATAATTATAAAATAACTTTATACTTATTGTGTAGTGTGTTTACTTCTGCTTAAAAAAACAATTTTTTAATGTATCTTATAGAGCTTCAATACAACTTTTATACAAATTCTATTACAACTATCATAAAACGTTGAAACTACAAGTATAAGAATAGGTATACAACTCTATTATAACTTTTATACAACTCTTTTAAAATAATTTTATAAGGGATTGTATAAAACGTTATACAATGGTTAAAAAATGTGTATGAGTTTGGTTCTATAACACGAGTTGTAAGAATATATATACAATAATGTATTAGAATTTCGTCGTTTTTACGATAAAATTATTGTATTAAGACGCATTAAACAATAAAAATGTTCTTTTTGCAGCTCTAGACGATAGTTATAAAACAATTCAGTTCTTTAAGGGATTTATTTTGCTAGTTGGGTATGTATTACAAAAATATATATAAAATATACCTCTTAAAAAATATTAGTAATAAAAGTACATACAATAAAAGATTATAACATAAAAAAAATTTAGCAAAAAACTTGTATTAAAAAAAAGAACAAACCTCTACATTTTTTAAAACTAAATTTAATAAAACTTAAAAAATACCTGGTAATAATTTTGTTGGGTAAGCCTGACGATTAAGCCTTCTATTAGCTATAAAGTCTTTCTCAGCAAAATGCTTTGAACACACTCTGCAGTTTTTGAAGACTTTTTCAGGTGTCGTTTCAAAAAGTCGTTTATTTTGACACAACTTAACCCACTGATTAAACAAGTCCATATGCCAAGGACGTGACGTCATTAGACACAGCGACATCTGTAGGACATGGAGAAAGTTTATTTTAAAATACCCCCCCCCCCTATTGAGATATTCGTCTATTTGGTTTGGTCTAGGGTTGTGATACCACCATAGATTCGAAAGCAATGTATAATCGTCAAACTAAAAGATCAAGATTGGTTTCCAACATATTTTTAATATAAGATAAATACAAATCTGTTGTTTTATTAAAAAAAATTCAAAAATTAAAACCAGAAATATTTTTTTTAAATTATTATTTAGGTACTTTAAGTATATATTTTCTATTATGTAAAAACATAAAATATTTGAAGAAAAAAAATTATTTATAACAAAATAGAGAATTAAAAATCTGTTTAGGTTAAAATAATAAGAATGGTTGTGTAAAAAAATTAAATGACGTGATTTCGTGAAACGGTGAGACACGGGTAAGTTTTTTAACCTTTATTTTTAAAATCTGTTCTTTTTCATGAGAGCAAAATCGTGTTGTAAGTACAACACGATTTTGCTCTCACAGTTGTGTTATCAGCTTTCTTAAAATGGGAAGTATATTTTTTCTGCTACGGTCCTGTCTTGCTTAATTTGTTTATTTCCATAAACAACCTGTACCACATGCATGTATACTGCGCTACATGTGAGGTGTCCTATCAATTCGCGGCGGATCACAACCTTTGGATCCTAATCAAACGGCGATGTTTTTAAAAACTATTACATAGCCACGATTTCAGTTAGTTAGCGTTACGACATCGGTGATCAATCAGGCGCCCAAGCTGGCGAATTCCTAACAAATTATCGTTTACTTTTTAAGTAGACTCTGTGCTGTGATATGACGCTACTCGCCAAAGAAAATGACCAGGGAAGTTTGCTGAGAAAAAGGGAAAATAAACTGGAGGAAGCTAATAAAGAAATTACAGAAATAAACGAAAAGGTAACCATTTTATGTTGTACCTACTTCTATTAATACCTTAATTTATTTTGCTGCGTCTTGTTATTATATATAAATATAAGTGTATACTTTCTCCTTCTCAAGTTTAAAATTTCCACATGGTTAAGTGTTTGTTAAAAATTATAGTGAAATATTCTAACCTTGTAAATATGTAGGAGCATTGTTAGACAGTAAATCATTCTAGATATTAGTTGTAAAATTAAATATTTACAATAATAATTTCCTGTTATATAGGATTCTTTGGAATAGTTTTAAAACAAAATAAATGTGCTATTTATGGAAAATTACACTAGAAAAAAACATTATTGTGCTACCTTACTACCCACTTGGTTTAAACTAATAAACTTGAATTTGCAAAAACTTTTTACAAAAGGCTGCATACCAAAATTAAATTACAAATTGAAAATATAATTGCCCACATTTAGGAAACCCTGTAGGTATTCTTACATAGCAGAACATTTTTGTTGGTATATTTATTTTTAGCGACCATGATTTTAATTAAAATAGAAAAAGTATTGTTGCCAATTACCACTTTCACATTTCATATGGCATCGTTGCTAAGAAATGTGTCGTTTTTGTAATTAAGATACTTTCTAAAAATGAATTAGTCAAAAAAGACTTGTTTTCAAAGTGAAAAAGTAGCCACTAATAACTGCAGCCCACAGCAATTTGTATCCCGGACATATAACAGCCAATTCTTATGTAAAATTGTCTCCTAAATCCGAAAATATCGCTAAAAAATATAAAAGTATAGCAGTTTTTGAAATAAAGTTACTCAATGTATTTTGGCAGTCAAATCAAATTTAATAAACCTTTTTATCAATATATTGTTATCTTGGTTTGCGTATGATAATTACACAATAAATAATTATTTATCAATTTACGTAGTGAACTTCAAATTTGCATGTTTAAATGACGAGAATAGCAATTACAAATAATAAATATTAATTGATTACTTAACCCTGTTTGATTATTAAGGGCCTACGTTTTAAAATAAGTTTTTTTAATTTTGAGGTTTGCAAAATGGCGAATGCGCCGGGATGAAAGTGAAAAGTGCAAACCTTAGAATAAAGGTATGATAGATATAATACGAGCCCTAACCACATAATGTTCGGACACTTCATAATTTATACAGAAATTTTTTTCGTGAATACTATCTCAAAATTATTAGAAGTTATGAAAAATTCAGCTTATTTTGGCATATACCCCTCGAAGCGATTTTTATTTTTAAAAAGTTTACCTTTTATTTTTAGCTTTTAAAAAAAGGCTAACTTTTTAACTTTTTTTTGCATGAGTAAAAAAAGTTATAAATGGGCCCATTAAAAAGAACATAAAATATTATACAAACCCTGAAAATTTGGTAAAAATTGTATAAATAATAAGAAAGTTATAGCGATATATATATCTGCAAAATCTCCCGTTTCCTAAGAAAATTGCAAAAACTCTTTAAAAATAGCATTTTTAAATTACTTATACTTTTTTATAACTTATTTATTTTTTACCAAATTTTCAGGGTTTGTATAATATTTTATGCTCTTTTTAATGGGTCCATTTATAACTTTTTTTAATCATACAAAAAAAAGTTAAAAAGTTAGCCTTTTTTTAAAAGCTAAAAATAAAAGGTAAACTTTTTAAAAATAAAAATCGCTTCGAGGGGTATATGCCAAAATAAGCTGAATTTTTCATAACTTCTAATAATTTTGAGATAGTATTCACGAAAAAAATTTCTGTATAAATTATGAAGTGTCCGAACATTATGTGGTTAGGGCTCGTATATCTTTCATATTATGAATAGTAAGGAGTCAAACCACGTCAAATATGCCAATTAGTTTTAATTGGTTTTTTAAAATCTACCTAACGATAATTTTAAAAAGCGGTAGATAATAACTAACCTAAAAACACTAAATCATTTTTCGAAATTCTGCACTGATACACGGACAGAAATGTATAGTAAATTTTAGATAGTAAAATTTACTTTAACAAATTTTTAGGGTAACAATATTATATATTCGTCAATACAATATTAAGATTGTAATACAAAATACAATATTAAGATTGTAATACAAAATACTATTACTAACAATATTACTAAATCATAAATGTATAATATATATTTTAATTTTTAATATGTTCGTATAGTAAATTGATTTTACTATCTACAAATAGTAATATTTACTATATAATTTAATCAAATGTAAGATGTACATCTAATATTATAATATATTACACATTAATAAAAAATATAGTAAAAATAAAGATACTTTTATGTTTAAGGTAAATAAACAATATATTTAAATATAATATACAATATAGTTACTCATGACATTTTAAACATTCAATTTTCTTAGTTTCTTCAATAAACTTTCTTGACCCATTACTGGTAATACTTATAAGAAAGAATTGAACCTACTTGGTTGCATAGTATGTACCGATTGCGGCAAAGGCCACGTCGCGACGCGTCGTTAGACGGTGTGGATCACGTGATGTTCTTACATCTCGCCTCTGTTGGCTTACCAACCATGTTATATAAGCTCAGGTATTTCTTTGTTTTGAGTGTGTTCCACAACTACAAGTTGCTCGACAGTGTCGTGTCGACACTGATGATACCCAATAGGGTCAAAACACCTGTCTGTCAGTATTTGAAGTTTAGGGAACGCACTCAAAACAAAAAACTTTGGCGAGGTGTAAGTTCAATTTTTTCTCATAACATTTTTGTATATTAAAAAGTACAATAAATATGTTACAATTTTTAATTGTTAACATATAAAAATATTCGATTTTAAAATATTTTATAATTTAAAATGACAACATAATATTTTAAAATTTACTATACTTATTAGTAATGGAAAAAATCTAATTATAATAAGAAATAAAAACAAAATTGGTTAAGAATAATAATATTTTACCTTAAGGTTTAACATAAACTCCTGGACAAAATTAACGCAACATCAAAAAATTTGCCACATTTTTTATGCTATTTTTTTGTTGAATTTATGATCCGATTTAAATGATTTTTGTTTTGCATTGTAGGTTGGTTCCTTGACAATGTCATAATTTTCGCTGTTTATGATAAAAAGTTTATTTTGGATTTATACCGGGTGTAATAAAAATGTACTGTTTTTTCTCGAAAATTCGTATCACCCTGTGGAGTATACTAGCAACCAAAACCTATAGCAGTTAACATTAGACGGTAGGTCCATATTTCGCCAACATATTCTTTTTTGGTTTACTTCATTATCTCTGTTATTAAAGGAGATACGCTGTTTCATAGCGTAACATGTTTTTATAGATTTTATTATTCAAAACATTAATTGTTAAATGTTTTCAAGTAGGCTATGGAAAATTCGCCATACTTATAACAACTGTTCGAAAACTGCTTATTAAATGTTCGTTTCGTATTTTAATCTTGAAAAATGAATCGTCCAAAAAATTTTTCGACAGAAGAAGCAGTAAGAGACTTAACTTTGGTGAATGAGGGCTATTCGATGTCATGTTGCTAATGTGATAGGAAGACATCGTTCGACTATAAGTCGTATGGTTAAACGATTTAACGAGACAGGATCTTACTCTTCAAGGTCAGGACAAGGGCGAAAACGATGTACCGATCCAAGGGATGAGCGTTTTATTAGGCAAACTGCTCTAGAAACAGGAAGATTACTAGTACAAGGCTAAAAAGTGAGCTTAGAACTGCTCGCCATAATACAATATCGTCTCGAACAATCAGGAGACGTTTAAATTAAAGAAACAATTACTTACCAGAGAGCACAGAGTTTCAAGATTGCGTTTTGCCAGAAATTATCAACATTGGACTGTTAATGATTGGAAGAAGGTTTTATTTTCTGATGAAACGAGAGTTACTCTTAATTCTCCTGATGGTGTGAACGTGTTTGGCGAAGGTCAGGAGAGAGATTTGCAAGTGGCAATATCTCTCCTAAAATCCCGTTTGGTGAAGACTCAGTAATGATTTGGGGAGGAATATGCTTCAACGGACGCACAGAGTTAGTCCCTATACGTGTAAGATCAATGAACGCCGATTATAATCTAGAAAACATGTAATGCCATTTGTTCCTTTTTTGGGACCTAATAGTTTATTTATGCAGGATTATGCATTTATCAAAGCGAGCAGAAATTATACAATTATACAAATACTCTAAACATCTCTTGAAATGTCAGAAAAGGTCCATAGCCTACTTGAAAACATTTAACAATGATTGTTTTGAATAATAAAGTCTATAAAAACATGTTACGGTATAAAACGGCGTATCTCCTTTAATAACAGAGATAATGAAGTAAACCAAAAAAGAAAATGTTGGCGAAAGATGAATCTACCGTCTAATGTCAACTGCTATTTGTTTCGGTTGCTAGTATACTCCACAGGGTGATACGAATTTTCGGAAAAAAACATTACATTTTTATTACACCCGGTATAAATCGAAAATAAACTTTTTATCATAAACAGCGAAAATTATGACATTGTCAAGGAACCAACCTACAATGCAAAAAAAAAATCATTCAAATCGGATAATAAATTCAACAAAAAAATAGCATAAAAAATGTGGCAAATTTTTTGATGTTGCGTTAATTTTGTCCAGGAGTTTACATGGATATTTAAAAATTACTAAATATGCATAGTATCTGGCAATATACAAGATAGTTGTCCCAAATAGTAATATAAATTATAGTAAAGGGTATTATAATTATGGTAATCAGCATTATACTTTTCTCTTCGTGTATGATATTTTAAGTAGCCAAAAATTTTACAACATTTAATAAAAATGTTTTTTTTTTTAGGATAAATATATTCGAAAAGTAATATTTGCAAAAAAACTAGTTTTTTATAACAATTATTTAAATATGCTATCGAACAGTTACGGCCCTAAAACATTATGGACAAAAATTTCGATGGTTAAAACGTGTCTTAAACTACAGGAAAATATGAACATTCGTGTTATAACAGTACCATCTCCTTCAACAAAATGACACCTATATCGGACCCTGTATTTATACTTATATTTCCCTAGTAGGACGTTAAATTAAACAGTACAGTTTGTAGATTTGTACGTTGTTAAATTAATAAAGACCAATATTTTATATAGTTAATGTTAAAACTTTTCATATCTGTAAAATCGTTTAAAATAAGTTCATCAACAAGAAGTTAATCGTAATACTTACAAATGTCAATATTTTCCTTTAGTTTGAGACACGTTTTTAACATCGAATAGCGTATTTAAATAATTGTTGTTTTTATATGCTAATTTTATTTTTCAAATATATTTATCCTAAATAAAAACATTTTACAACAGTAAAAAAAATATCGGATTATAGCAAACAAGTAGTGAGTGATCATTTTTTGTTACAAAGCAGAGTAAAACATCTTCGGTTATTGAGCTAAATTTAAAGTAGTCGGTCTTTTCTGGCAATTCATTGAACTTAAGCACGAATATTTTATTTCATATCTCTTGAATGTTCAACACGTTTTTTTTAACGAATTTTACAAATAAACAACAGTTACCATTGCTATTGCAATAGCTATCAAGGCCCAATTTTCTTGATAAAAGCATTGGTTTTGCTAGCTTGACGTTTTTTAAATTTGACCATGACATTTAAATTGACACTGTCAAATTCTATCAAAATTACGGTTTTTTTTATAGTTATTATAAAAAGGTATTATAAAAAGTATAGACCTGCATATAACAAACTCGGATAATTGTTACGCCTCGGCCTAACGGCCTCGGCTACAACAATCCTAGTTCGTTAATTGCCTGATTTAAAAAAAAAATAAAACTGTAAAAAAAATCATCTAAATATTGCAAACGTGAGTTACCTATCATTTTTTTTTAAATGTTGTAAAATTCCTAGGTATTAAAATAATACAAATAGTGCAGAATTTCGAGTTTTTTTAAATTATTATCTACAGATCAGCAAAATCTCACCAAATCTCATGCTAAGGGAGGGGGGTCATTTAAAATCTCACGTCAACTTTTGGGTTCAAAGAATAGAAGTATTTTAATTCAAAATTGTCAAAAAAAGTACCCAATCAATTTTTTTTGGGTTTATCATGTTGTCCACAATGAAAGTTTAATGGCTAGAATCTCACGTGAGGGATAGGGGGGTCCTACCACATCTCATCAAGGGGGAGGGAGGGGTCCAAATTATCCCCTTACCCCTTAACAATTTGATAGCTTTTCAAAGCCGTATATGACATGTCCCATATCATATGATTCAACAAAACTGTCACTGTCATCCTCCATAGCCTATGGATGGACCATAGCAAGCTTAGTTCTTCGTACAGAAAAAATATTGGAAATTGCAATGTTTTAAAAAAAAATCCTTATTTTCCACAAAAATAAATATATCAAGGTGAACCAAAAACAAAACTGTTAAAAATAGATATGACTTGATAATTAAAACTTAATTTAGAACAATATACGGTTTTGCCACTCTACAGAGTATCCCTGCTTAAAATACCCCATAGGGACCTATACAAAATAATCTATCGGGCGCTACCGGATTCAATATGTGCATTTGTCCATGGTTTTTTCCGGATACGGCTCGATAGAAAATGTATGGGAAATAGGCACACCATAACTTTTACATTTTCCCTATTGAGACCGATAGCAAATAACTCAATGAAGGATATATAGGGATATCCCTATAGAGCAACCATAAGACATTTGTCAAAATTTTATTAAAACCTAAGTATAGGGTTCTATGGGGGAAAAACTAATTTCTACATTTATGTGTATTTTCCCCATTGAAACCAACAGCAAATAAATCAAGGGTGGATATCCCTATAGAACAACCATAAATCCCAACTATGGGTCCTATACATACCGATACACCCTATAGAAACACCATACTTTCCGATACAAATATCTATCGGTTTGAACAGGGTCTCTATGGGGTATTTTAAGCAGGGGTCTTAAACTTATGGTAAAAACAATATTTTTGTTTAAACCGGTATATTATAAACGTACGTCTATTTTTTAGTATTTTTTAAAATGACAGCGATTCTCCATTAATTTATCTAAATAAATAAATATTCTTTAATATTTGTTTAAATGCGAAATCAAATAAAAAAAGTTATTTGCGATTGAAATTGATCAAAAATTTGTGTGGATCGATTATTTTGCCTGTGAGTGTATAGGTAGTTACGCATCTATTGTTTTTATAATTTATAATTTTAAAATATTAATATTTTTATTATACGACTTATATTTAAAATTTTAATTCAAAGATAAGCACTTGTAGATAACCTATAAAAATAGTCGTTATACATGTTAAACATTAATAAATGATTAACTCAAACTCTAATTAGAAGAAAAAATATTATCTTAGTTTTAGGTTTTAATTAATGTTTATTTTGATTAAAATTTTATATATATATTTTTTTTAGACAGAAGATAACTGTGATAACCAACTAGAAAATGAAGATATAAATAAAAACAAACAATTAGTAAATAGGAAATGGTCTCTCTGTAGTTTTACGTAATTATAATTTTTATTATTACAACTTTAAAATTATTTAACTAGATTATATGTTTTAGCGAATTGCCGTCATGGCTACAAGACAACGAATATATTACGTTTGGCCACCGTCCTCCTATACCATGCGTGAAAACATGTTTCCAAAGTATATTCAGGATACATGCTGAAACTGGAAATATATGGACGCATTTGGTGGGCTGTATTTTATTTATAGGTACGTAATTTATGCTGTAAAACTATACAAATTGTTTATAAAACTTTTTGCAGGTATTACAGTTTACTTTACCTACTCTCAATACGTGAAAATCCCTGACAGCAAAGAAACATGGGTATTTTTAGCATTCTTTGCGGGCGCCATTTTGTACCTAGGGTTTTCCACAATTTTCCACACGTTGTACTGCCATTCGCAGAACGTCAGCAAGCTGTTTTCCAAACTGGACTACTGCGGCATCTCTCTACTTATAATGGGATCCTTCGTCCCGTGGGTCTACTTCGGATTCTACTGTCACTTTGTCCCTAAAGTACTGTACTTGGTGATGGTTTGCACGCTGGGGATATCAACCATGTGCGTGAGCCTAATAGACAAATTTTCGACGCCCACATGGCGGCCATTCAGAGCGGGCGTCTTTATGACGTTCGGACTGTCAGCTGTTTTCCCTGCCTTACACTACGGCTTCCAAGAAGGCTGGTTCAACCACATTTCGCAGAAAAATCTGGGTTGGCTGGTTTTGATGGGGGTGCTCTACATCGCAGGTGCCCTGCTGTACGCGTTACGAGTTCCTGAACGTTGGTACCCCGGGAAATTCGACTTTTGGTTCCATTCCCACCAGATATTCCACGTTTTTGTGGTGGCAGCGGCTTTAGTGCACTTCCATGGAGTCACCGAACTTGCCACGCACAGATTATCGCTGGGCGCATGTGATCCGCCCGGCCTAATTAAAATGTGATACATTTGTTTTTAGATGAATTAAATAAAGTTTATTATTTGTAAATAAAAACTTAACTTGTGTTTCACTTATAGTTACTTAAATTATATAGTTACATATGTTATAAATAAAGCAATATTAGGAAAGAAAGAAATAGTCAAAAAGCTAAAATAAGACCGTTTAATACAATAGCAATAACCCCTACAACGTGGTATGTCGTTGGTCCGCCATTTTCCGGACTCCCTGTATAGCTAGAATGGGAGAAAAGCACTAGACTCGCAAAAGAAAAAGTGGGACCAAAATAAGTCATTGAATTAACTACTTAAGTTTATGAACGTCGAGTTTCAGAAATATGCACAAAAATAATAGTTTTTATATGAGACCCTGTATATTATACATATTTTAAAAGACAAACAAAAAATTAGTATTGCTTAACTACCGCAAAACTTAAAAATAAACAATCAAAAGCACTTTAAAGTTTTGATTGTGAAAATATAGTAATAATATGGTTGCATCAGAATTCTGATGCAACCAAATTATTACTATTATATAATATTATATATTTATTTATTATATTATTACTATATAATAATACTATAATATATTAATAAACCTATAACTATAGTATACTATAATTATAATACCGGTTATCATTAAAGATTATTCAAACTTCACCGAATCTAGAGTATGTAAATTATTGAAACGTCTAAAGAAATAATTTTATTAATTCTATTTATAGCTATTGCATATAAAATTATTTAATAAACAATGTTTTTTGGGTAATTAAACAAAAAAGCGAAGTGTTGAAAAAAACATGAAACGAATTCCATCACAAATTAACCACTTAAAATTTTTTAAAACCCGATTGTCTTCAAAATGAACAATTTTTTCTTTGCTTTTAAATGAAATTTGTAAAAATATAAACAAAACAATTAAAGGGGTAAAAAGCATTTTAGCATGAAAATAAGTTCAGAATTGGGTAGTTTAGGGTCCAAATTTTTTTTTAAATTTTTCTCATAACGTGAAAATTGTACGAGTTCTGCATGTTGATTAATGCAAACAATATTGAAACAAGTATCCAGATTTTTGCTATATAGAGCAAAAACTTGATAACTCCACTTCTCTTTTTTGCACTGGTACCCTTTTGCTTTTTACCCCTTTAATTATTTAAAACTATCTTCTATTTTTTTTTTACTTTTCCGAAAAAAAGACATTTTTTCAATAATTTCCACTTCCAATTTCTATTGAAAAAAAATAGAAAACAAAAAAACGCCACTCCAAAAATTTCAGAGAATTTGCAGAAAGTTTCAAATAAGGAAAATAAAAATGAAAATCCTCGAGAAATTTTTATTTTTTCCGGAAATTTAAAAAAACGTTGAATTGTGAATAATTATTTCTTTATTATTTCAAAAAGTACATTTAAAAACAAAAATTAAAAAAAGGCCCGATAAGTCAATTTTTGAACATTTCATAGTATAGATACATATTTAAAAAATAAAGCGCCATTTTTTTTTAATTCGGATGGGTAAAGAAATTGAAAATATTCTAAAAATGTTTTTGCTATGGTAGTAAAAGATAAAAAAGTTTTAGCCAAATTAAAAGGGGTCAGGGTCAAAAGTGGTCAATTTGGCATATATTAGTTTTTTTAAACATCAGTAAAATGATAATGTTTTGTCATTTGGTATAATAATATATTTATATATTATAATATAATAATACAAGTATATTATAATATAGTAATACAACATCCTGTAAAATGTCAAAAAGTTATCATTTTAAAAAAACTGTAATATATACCAAATCGACCACTTTTATATTGAATATATTTTGTTAAATATATTTATTTGTTTATTTAAGCCCTATATAGGTACTGTCTAAACTTTCTTTTAATTTAAACATTATTTTTTCTCCTTTAATGTATTTGATGTTTAAAAAAATAATATGCAAAGTAAAGCCTCAAAAAGTTTCACCAAAGATCCTTATTAAATAATATACTATTATCTTTGAGTGGCATATTAATAAATGCTATTATTATTAGTAAATAAAAACTAAATTTTTATTTTATATAAATATAATGTATTTAATTATTTAAATACAATTATGCAATCAATGCATTCAATTATGGTATCAAATATAAAGTCAACAAGGTAAATATATTCAATTTTCAACTAAGGGACAAACATTACAAGTGACGATATAGAAACAACAAAAATGTATAAAAAGTTACAAAGCAAAAGTTCTTTAATTCAAACAAAGTCTTAGTAATTATTATCCTTAATAATTCTTGATCAATTAAAACCGGTGTAAATATGTACAACTAGTAAAAAATAAATGTAATTACGATGAATCGTCGTCATCTGACATTTCTTCATCCTCATCATCATCTTCTTCAGAACTACTGTTGACATTGTTTTCTTTATGATTTTCTTCAACTTCTTCCTCATTCTCACTTTCCTCCCATTCATTTTCGCTCTCTGAATGCGCGTCCATTTCCAGATTTTCAACTTCTGAATCTGAATCTAAAAAAGTATAATTTAGTCCTTAATATTGTTCGCAAAAATGTATAAAAATGATGTCTTTACCTTTATCATCAAAGACCAGCAGGGCTTCTTCCTCATCAACTTCATTACTTTCTGGTGTAGTACTGATTTGGGATGAAAGCAAGTTTATCCTCCCCTTCAGCCTGTTTAAAGGAGTTAGTAGGGACAACCTGTTCTCGATTCCCATGAGAGAACTACCCAATAACTCTCCAAGAGAAGGATTTGAAATTAAAATTCCTGAGTGAATTTGGAGAATGTGCCTTAACCATAAAGCACCAATCTGACACAAGTTGGTTTTTCCTTTAAGGTATTTAGTGTTCAATTCTTCAACTAAAGGTACTACAACAGTTATAGGCAGTCTTCTTACAGTATTCCTGATGATATTATCATCCCTTTTCAACAAAACCTGGTTTAAAATCTTTTTATCCTTGCTATGCAATCCTTGCACCAACAACTGAGCCACATTGTCCCCCTTGGGGACACCGGAAGCACTGTCTAATTTATTCAAAGTAAGATTCTCCAACCGTTTTTCCATAGGAACTTCCTGTTGGCCATCGTTCTTTCTTTTACTAGCACCAACTGCCGAAGTTTGTGGTGTAACATATAGGACATCGTTACCAACAATTGGGGTCTTAATTTTTGTCACTTCGTTCTCATTTGCTGATTGTACTCTCCGGGGATCTTTGCGCACCAGGCAATGTAGTTTTTGATAAGTAGTTATTGTCTAAATAATATTAATATTAATATGATATTAAAAAACAGAACATGTAAGCACTTACAATATTTTCAAAGGTAATTATAATCTCTGTGCCATGTCCTATACAAAGAGTATTATCATCTCTAAATATAGATCCAAAAATCTTTATTGGTACCACCAAACTCTTATTTTGACCAGTGTCTGACACAACTTGTAGAGTTGTTTTGGGTTTTAATGGTTTTCCACATTTTCTGCAAACAAAAAACAAAAATAATCATGAATATTAAAATGGTGTTTTTATAATTAATGGAAAGCAAAAAAATATTAATTAAAAAAGTTATTCTTTTCTTAATACATGGGGAACTTTTTTATATAAATTAAAATAAAAAAACTATATATTTCAATTCATAAAAGTTGGTAAAAATGACATAGGTAATTCCTTTAAGGGTGATTCTAAAAATATTGAGTAATTTTGAGGTACATTAAATGAGGACCCTAGAAGCCAAGGGATACAAGTGACATTTGAAAAAAAAGTAGTACTTGGTATCCAAGAGATAACTGAATTCTAACCTTAGACATGTTGAAAAACCAAGTCATAAAACAACAAACAATTTTGACTTCAAATTACAAGTGTTTTTTTACTTTAAACATGATTATCTCAAAACTAAACAAAATGTACTTGGCTTCTAGGGTCCTCAAATGTCTGAGAAATTTGAGTTGATTTGATTTTGACAGTCTTAAAATTTGACTCTTTTATGAATAGAAAACATATGTATATAGTTTATATAATTTTTATTAAGGAATAGGTAAATTCATCAATTCAAATTTCTCAGACATGCAAATGAGTTTAAAAAGTAACAAAAAAAAAATTAAATTGTTTAAATTTGTTTTTGCAGGTTTAAAAGAAAATATGGTTATTAAATATATTTTGTAAGGCAGATATTTATCGGGAACATCCAAATAATTGATATTTTTAGAATCTCCCTTATAATGTTTTCCATTTTTTATTTTTTTATTAGTTTATTTGAAGACCTTGGGGTAAAAAGAAACAACTTTGTTGTTTCAAGAGAATAATGTTTTACACTATTTTTTGAATTTTCTGAAAATTTTGGAATACAAACTTTTTGATAAAAATCATATTTGGTCAGTTTTGTCATTTTTTCATTTGTAATTTTCTTTCCAACAAATGAATATTATCACATTAGAAAAAAATCTCTCGATAATTCTACACACAATTCTTACGTATGAAAATGCAATTCAATGAATAATGTATTTTAAGCAATAAATTGAAAAGTAAAATCTTTAAACGTGTCAATAGAAATGATTACTTTTGAGAAATGACAAATGAATGAAAACTGACAAAAAATGATTTTTGTGAAAAAAGTTTTAGTCGAAAATTTTCAGAAAAATCAAAATTGCAAATTAACCATAAACAGTAAAAATTAAGTGTCATATAATCTGTTGGTTTAAAATCAAGCAAAAACGTTTATAGAGAATAACATTTTCTGAGAAATGTAAAATATTTTTTTTCCACTTTGTAACAATATCTGTGGACATATGTATATCAATTGTTTTAGAGTAAATTATGTTTTATATCATTTTTCTTTTAATATACTATTCCTTAATTTACATAATATTAAAAAAATCATGATTTTTTATTTTTTTAAATAAAAATCAACTTTGCCCAACCCTGCATTATATTAATAATAACATATTTAAAGCAATTAAAACTCTTTCTTACCCATTAAGTGTGTGTTGATAAATATGCACCACACCACTCCTAACACTAGCAGCTAAACTTGTTGTACCATCTGAAGAGGTATTAATAGAAATATTTTGCACTATGTCCTCCATAAGAAATGAGGTAACAGCATTTTTATCTGTTGAAGTATTACTCAATGTCCAGCAGTTCAATATTCGATCATCCTTAAAAATAATTTATAATGAACAATTTTTAATATTAATTTTATGTTATGTTACCTTTGCTCCACTGATGAAATAGGAATCTGAATTTTCTCTTGGACAAATATACTTTAAAAATACTACATTTGAGCTGTGCCCCGTGAATGTTTTTAGTAGTTCTTTTTTGTCTATGCTCCATAACTTTATAGTTTTAGAAGCCGTCAGTAGATTTTTTGTACCAGGTACATTTAAAATGGATGTAACCTTTTCATTTCCAGTTTTCCATTTACTAAAACCAAAACCACTTTATAAAACCTTCCTGTTCCTATTAACATCAGTTTTGTGCCATAATTTGAGGTCAGAAAATATTTATAATAATCCTATTTACCTAAATTTTGTAAAAAACAAAAATTATCCATTTGTCTGTTTTTACACTGATACCAATTTCAGATATTTAAAAAAATATTATAATAGTAATCTAATAAACTTATGATTCCTACCTTGACATAGACCGTTTAGTAAGATTCCACACCAAAACATCTTGATCTGCACCAGTATAAGCCTTGTTTGCTTCATCAATTGATATACAAGTAATACCTTGACTTAAATTGCTATTTATAGAACATTCTACGTTAGCTTTTGCTATTGAGTATACTAAAAGACTCCCAGAAGTTGTACCCAGGACTATTTTTGCCCCTGGTTCAGATATTGACTCCCTACGCTTCTTTTTCTTTGGAGACACATCCTAAAAACACAAGTTAGTTAACACAAACTCATTTTAAACAATATTTATATTTTTTTATACACAAGCAAATCTAGAATATCAATTTTTAAAGTAACCAGTAACCTGACTAGGTTATGCATGTTTAACATAATATTGAAATAAGCTGAATTTGTGATTACTAATTTAGTTTTTGCATTTAACTTGGTTTTCACTATAGTTTTAACAGAGTTTTTAATTTTTAAAAGCACATGTTCCTTACCTTGCTACCACTCTGTGAATTTATAAAATGTAAACAAGTACAAGGACTTGTCAGGTGAAAATCTGGGGTAAATTCCTGTTCAAACGAATTTGCTACTGTGTCCCATACTTTTAATTTACCATCGGTCGATAACTGGGCGAAATATTTACCATCCTCGCTAAATTCTGTAGCCATTTCAGCCGCCATTAACACATGTTCTAACCTCAATTTTTTAAAAAGGTTAATGTTGACCGTATAGGAAACTACCTTATCGAACGAAATATTTAGGTATTTTAGACATAAAATAGTATTTTTTATTGATTTAAGTATTCAATTAACCAAATAAATATAAAACTAGTCTAGTCCATTATATTTGTATTTATAATTGCATTAAAATCGTGTTGTATTGCCTTAATAAATAAACAATATTCTAAGTAGATTGATGTCGGGAACTTAGACACAAGTGTCAACGTCAAAACGTCAGTGTGTTGGCAAAATAATTTTTTTTAAAAGCAATTAAATGTGACAGGTTCAGTGGACAATTTGGTGTCATTTTTAATTTAAAATTGTTAATAATGTCATCGTGGCTTAACTTTAACGACAGTTTTAATAACATAAAAGGGCAAATAACAAATTTGGCAAAGGATGTTTTGGCAGTAGACGAAGGTATTTTGAACCTTATTTACTTTTGACATAAGATTGTTTTGAAACCTTGACAGCTAACGTAACCTATACATATTTTTTTATAAAAATGTTTTTTAATTGTTAAGTTTGTGTTTATTGTTTTTAGAGAATGAACATTCCGAAAAAACTTATGAAGAGATCAATAGAATATGTCAACAACAAGAACTACAAGTAAGTTATGATCTATGTTTATTTATAATCATTTTTTTTGGTTTTAAAATATAAATTTATTATTTTAATTTAAATTTTAATTTTGATAGGTACTGCTTTTTTATCACAAAACTTAAAACAGTTTATCCTTGCAGATTCAAGAGCTGCTTAGTGTTATTGAAGCAAATAAACTAAAAGTTGTAAGTACATTTTTTGTTTTATTATTTTTTAACTATTAATTGCAGGGTGAGCCCAGGTAAATAATATATTTTCACCCCTACCCATATAAAAGAAAAAAAGTATATTCATTTATTTTTAATAATCCAAATTGCATTTAAAAAAAATATTTCATCTTAAGGAAATTTCTCATATTGAGTTAGGGTATTATACCTACCTATAATAGGTACCAAAGGTACTGTACCATATATCAGTGATATTTATATATATATATATATATAAGGTTTACAAATTTCCAATCTAAAATCACAGAAATCAATGTTGATTCACTCAACGGTTTTAGTATTTAAAAAAAATATGAATAGGTATGAATATGTATGGATTAGATTTTATAACTTAATTTAGATTCTATAGAATGTTATAACATTTGGAATTGATATGGGACCATAATAATATTAACATAATATCATTGAGTATCATTACTCAATTAATAATTAATAATTATAAATTATAATTAATAATTACTCAATGATAATATTATTATGTAGGTATGGGATGGTAAATTTATTTTCGCTTTATAGATGGCGCCACCGTTCTGTAAAACCTATTTAAACTATACAGGATGTCCCAAAAATAGTGTGCAATACTCTACACGTGGAAAATAGAAAGAAACATTTTGGAAATAATGAAATTTTGTATGCTTACTTAACTTTTTATGCTGAATTTAAAAATAACAACAAAATTTAACATTTTTATTAATATTAAACATAGGCAGCCTGGAATATTTTTAGCCCCAAATTTTCTATGTGAAATTTTGCGTAATATAAAAATTTAAAATTTTTAAGAAAAAATACAATTTTTTTAGTTTTAATTCGTTATTTTATTTTTATTCGAAAATGGTGCATTTTATCGATGTTCAACAAGAGTTAAAGTACTGATAATTAACTATTATTTTATATAAACTTCTACACGCAAATTATGTTTCTACAATGTGTTTATTCTTTTATCTAGTATTAATATATTACATATTATACATTTAATAAATATGTAAGAATTGTATGTTATATATTATATAACATACAATTCTTACATACGAGTATTAATTTAAAAAAATCGCCATAGATGGAGCTAAAATTACTTTTATTTATAAATTTAAACTTTTTTATTAATTTTGATCATAGTAGGCATAATAGACTTTTCTCTATGATAATATGACAGTTTAGTTTCTTTGAAAATAAATATTAAAAATTTAAAATGGTATAAAACTGTATAATTTCGATTTTTTAAATGAAATTTGAAATATGTCGATAAACTATGGTAAATAATAAATTGCACCAATCAAATTTATATCATATTTATTGGGGGCGCCATGGAGCCGGTACCGCAAAAAGTTATCTTTTTTTCGAAAACTTAAATCTAAATTCTGCTTGCGCAGAACTTGTTCATTTAATGTCATTATAAATTCATATAAACTTGGTGTGGGTCCCATATCTAATAATTGAGATATCGGTATACCCAAAATCCACCAGCCGCCACTGTGTAAAACCCTGTATGTTTTAATATAATCAAATAGAAAATTAAAGAATCTTTCGATTGGTATTATAATAACTGTTTTCTAAAGTTAAAATTTCAGACACATTTAACAATTTCTAATGTTTTCAATACTAGTTTGTATCAACAAACCCGTGAAATTCTACATGTGACAGTATCCATGGTTACCACTTAATCTGTCATTGTTTAATCTGTCATTGTTTAAAATTAATTAAAATATTTGAAAGAAAAATTAATAACTTGAAAAATATTGACTTTAGGTATAGGATATGGTATAGCCATTTTACTCAGATTTTTTTGTGGAATTCAAAAATGTAAAAATATATAAGGTGTCCTGTTTAAAATAACAAAGTTAAAGACATTTCCGGTAAAATAGGAAGTATTATTTTATTCAAAATAATTTATGAAAAAAGTCTAAATCGAATAATTTACACTATTAAAATTTTAAATCGTCTTTCGCGATTCCCTATAAACTTATAATGGACTGCGTACGTGAAACACACTGTATATTAAACGTCATTTTTGTGTTATGCTATACTTAATTATTAATAAAAGATATATAATAACAACAATAATAATAACAACAATAATAACAAAAATAATAATAACAAAAATAATAATAACAACAATAATAACAACAATATTTGTATAAAAATGACAAAATGTACTAAACTAAAAATTTATGAATACTGCTAATTCAAAACTGATCATGGCCACAAAAACATCATTTGCATAAAAAAGTTAATATTTCAAATAATAGTCAAATATCAATACTTCAACGTGTTATACTCAATATTTATAGAACAAAATTGCTTCTTCGATTATAATCGAAGAAGCAATTTTGTTATAATTATTAGCCTTTTAAAATTTGTTAAATTTTATATTAAATTATCACCAGCGCCCCTGTACGTTAAAATCTAAACAACATTTTTTCATGGATTAATTAGTAAGATCTACATTTTGTCTACATTTTGTCCAAATTTCAAATCGATACGTTATTTAAAAAAAAATTCTTCATTGTTAACACAGTGAAGAAAAAAATAAAAACAAAGTTGTCAATGGACGAGATTTTTTTTAAGTACTGCATTTAGATGTGGAAATAAGGTAAAAAAAGTTTCAATCGATTTCTTGAACCCTTGCAAATCGACCGTTCGATCCTTTCGCGAAACCATAGTTAACATATGGACTATATAGACCAGAGGTTAGGAATAGTTTTATATAGTTTTATTTCAGTGGCATGTATATAATGGCTAAAATATACCTAAATATAAATCAAACAGAAAAATAGGATAAACGTTTTTGAGTCTCGCACACATTTTCGCTGGTCGGTCGGTCGATGGGGCGCGTTATCGCTAAAAACAAATAATAACATCTGCCTGTTTACTTTCGATAACATTGTTTAATGTACCTATATACCTACCACCATGCCCATGTATGTGATGCACATACAAATTTAACGGTAATAAATGAATTGCCCATTTCAGGTTTTTTGATGGTACGTGTTTCTATACGGGGTGTGTCCGAATTCCATCCAAAAATTTTGGGGGGTACTCAACATTTAAATTTTATTTTTTATATCAGGAATACGTTAACTTTAAGAATAATACATATTAACACACGCACTATAATTAACTGCAACTTTTCTGTTGTAGACCTGATATTGACATACTATCAGGGGGGCAAACAGGAAGGCATCGCCCCCACTTTTTTTACTTACATTATTGGGTATTTTGGTTCCAATTTATGAGTTTTCATTTAATTTTACACAAATGAGGTCATCTTGTTTAAAAGGTGTAACACCAACCGTTTTTAAGAAAAATCGCTTTGAAAATGTTCGGTTCTGCGTTATGAAGTTATAGCTTTGACCACATGTTCTCAGGAACTTTTTTTTATATTTTTGTTGTAGAATAACCCCTTAACATTTTTGGAGAAACCCTGTATTAAAGGTATAATAGTAAGTTTCCAATTAACCTTAATTTATGGGTAATCATAAAAAGGTACCTACCGACGTTTTTTAAAATGGGGTTTTAAAAAATTAGTACCACTTTCATTTTCAGCAGTGTCGATCTGCTTGACCTAAAATGAATTTTTACCAAATTACAGTTCCGGACACACTGTGTGACGTTTCAAAAAGTTTTTTTTACATAATATCAAAGAATGGATTTAAACTTTTGATATTTTTACACAAACTGTCAACCCTGCCTGCTGACTTAGGTATTGGTATTGTTTCTATAACAACCGTTTTTGGATGTTTAATATTTTAAATTATCGAAGATGAAGCGTGCGAGTGCTTAATTAAATGAGTGTCTAGAAAAGTTTATAAACGAGTTGCATACTATACTTTTTGTACGACAAATACTTATTATTATCTAAAATTATTTAAATTAAATATGCGTATAGAGCGACATCTATAAAACAATAGAGTAACCAACTTGGGAATCTGTATTACCGGCGCGCCGGTGAAAATGTCAAATTTTTATGTGTAAATCGAAATGTATCCCTTGAAAATGGACAATTTAATCCGATATATAAGCAGTTTTTCACAGGGAAAGAAAATGTTTTTTATTGGCACCATATGGTGGAGTCTCCACCCGAAATTAAGTTAAATCTAGTTTACTGCCGGCGAAATTAGGAGGTCAGTACAATGTAGGAATTTTTTCTACTTTTACCTTTAAAACGCCCGTTATCGTACATGTTTCCATCACTCTGGCGTTTTAGTCACGGGCTAAAGTTAGCAACAGGTTTTTAGTCACGGGCTGAACTGACAGTTGTCAAATGTCATACAATTGTTAAAATAAAATGCCCTTCTTGTAAAATAATACTCAATGTGAAAATTATTTTATTTTCTCAATACAAAAATCATTAAATAATTTTTCAACGCCAATATTTCAAAAGTTTATATAAACATTGTACCTACCTTTTAATTAAACTATATATAACTTAAATTCGGGCTCGAACTCCACCGTGAAGTGCTCATAAAACATTTTCTTCACTTTCGCTGTGAAAAACTGTTGTTAATCTATTTTCAAGGGATACATTTCGATCTATAACAAATAAAAATTTGACATTTGGTGGCAACACAGATTCCCATATTGTTTTATAGATGTCGCTCTATACAAATATTTAATTTAAATCATTTTTGGATAATAAGTATTTGTCGTAGAAAAAGTATAGTATGCAAATCGTTTATAAACTTTTCTAGACACTCATTAATTTGAGCACTCGCTCGCAAGCTCTCTCGTGCCTAAATTCGTGTCTAAAGTAGCGTTTATCAAAATTGATACATAATATACTATTATTATTTTTATGTTTTGAGGTTATTTATTTATAAGGATAGGAGTATTTTCTAAAAGCTTTAAAAATAAAGACCGATTGTATTAGTGTTTAAAGTGAACTAACGAGACCTAAAATATTATTCATTAATTAAGATATTTTTCAAAATTCGTTATTTGAGTTAACATGTTTCTCGAGG